TTAAAGCCTTTATCATCGAGTTAAGAGACAAAAGTGAAACGGTCGGAATTCCAGTCGCGTCGTTTCTACCTAAACTTCTCGGCACATTTCTCTCTGTCAATTACTCTCATATTAATAATGTATTCGGACATAAATTCTCACTTGAATTAAATTATATTATTCCTGTCCACGAATTTCTCTCTGTATATTGACATTTTTATCAAACTGTTCGAAAACTGTTCCAATCGAAACGCGATCTCTTTTTTCTCATTTAATAACTCAATCATCTGAATGTTACATTCGAGGGGTCGAGCGTAAATCTAACTCGGTTATACATTCCCTTCGTGTTCGATTAAAAGCAAATCGATGTATCTATTGGGAATTGGGTGTATTCGTCCACGCTTATCTTTATTAAGCCGTCTTCATTATCTTCATGTACCTTTATAAATCGTTTTTACGAACGGGGAGAATGAGAATGAGATTGACAAAAAGCAACAAAACGAGCAAACACGTAAACGCGTGTAAACGCGACTCACCCAACATAAGTAGAGTAAGATCGGATATAGCCAGACTGAATAAGTAGTAGTTGGTGGCCGTTTGCATCGAAGGATTTCTTATAATTACGATGCATGTCGTGACGTTCCCAAAGATACCAGTCACAAAAATTGTCACGTATGCTATCGTCAACGGTATTACCATCTTCAGGGGCAAATACTTAGGTCCAAGTACCTTGGCTAAATATTCCGCTTCTGTTAAATTCTCCAAGTCCCAATCCTTCCAAAAGTCATGGAAATAGTTTGTACCGTCGTCCGACGTTTCCATGATGAGCTTTACAGTGGGAGAATCAAATTTTTCTCCCACTATAAAATATATATTATATATATGTATATATATAAATCAAATAAATTCTCCCGTGAAAGGAGTCCTGTCTCGATCGATAATTAAACATTTAAAACGAGAAACTGCGCGTTCTTAAACAAAAGGCCAGAACTCGACACTTCTCACCTTTAATTTAATTTAAGAATATATTATATTCGTGATCGTAGAAATTATCATCATCGGTAAACAAAGCATTCTGTTGCGATAATCCGACGTCGAGTCAACAAACTACGATCGGTCGATCGTTAATAGGTCACAAGCTTAAGAGCAAATTCGAGAAATCGTAGATTTACGTTTGCATTCATTTTGTTTAAATTTAATGGCAGGCTATCCAGTTTTGTATTAATCGGGCTCGGCGTAGGTTTGCTCGGCCGCATTTCTGTTAATGATTCACCATATATTTCCATTCTTATTCCTGCGGTTACAAATCATCTCGTTGAATCTTCTCACAAACGGGAATAAACACAACACCAACGAAACGCGTTATTGTTTATAATTATAATTAAAACAGTTGGGAAAACAGTTCAGCACAATTACTTGCAATTTTTACTGGTAATATTTTGTTCGTTCGTATTTTGATGAAACGCTCGTGAAATATGTTATTGCTACAATTACGAAAGAAAAGAGCAAAGAAAGAATTGTTAGAAAAAAAAAAAAAAAAAAAA